TAACGCTAAACCTAACGCTAACCCTTAACCTAACGCTAAATGTAACCCTAACGCTTTAAACCTAACCCTAACCCTTAACCTAACCCTAACCCTAACCCTTAGCTTTATGTGAATCGGCTTGCTTTAATTTTAATTTTATTTCAATTTTTTTTTGTTGCGCTGTGATGACGTCACCTGCGCGCTCTCGTCGAGCGCGATTTTGTCCTCCGCGGTTTTGACGGGTCACGCTTTTTAGAGTAGCAATATATTCCAGAGAACATTTTATTCATCCTACAGTCTTATCCAGAAATATCAAAGGTGTTTGTTGTAGCAATGCAATCAAAATTATGGAAAATATCTGAAAAGACAGACTGGCCAAAAAACACAGGGTGGATCAAAACCTCTACTCTTACTCTGAGAGAGAAAAAATGGAGCAAAGCACTTATTGGCACTGACTCAGCACTTTTGACACTTCCGACAGCAAACAAAATTAAGTGCAAGAATTTTAATAAGTGGTAAATGAAGTTAGTCCAAGCCATCTAACACAATTTGGATACTAATCTGGAAACAGCAAACTATCAGTTGATGTCACCAGTTGAAACACAGCTTTCACCAAATGGATTACAATAAGACTCATGTTTGTTATATGAAGAAATTCAAGTAGTAGTATTGAAAAGCAGTAGTACAAAATAAGCTGAGAATAAGCTTATCTTCTTTCCACCACAATTTCAAAGTAGTGTGGTGCTCCCCACTTACATGTTGTATTTCCTGCTGGCTGGCTCGGTAGTTTTTCTTAGTTAAATTGTCCACCAGGTAGCTGATTTGAGACAAGGCCAGCGAGAGCGAGTCAAGATTCATTGCTGGTTGGGGCGGAAGCAGGCGGCCGAGCCCGGCGCAAAATCACCATTATTCCCCTTTAGTCACCTCAGAGACAGGTTAATTTTTTTCCACTCAGCCTGTATCTCAAATTATGTTGTATCTTTAGTTCTTCTTTCCTAATACTCCCACTATGTCCTGAAACATGGCACCTGAAAAATAAAGCAGACACTTTTTTTAAAATTAGCATTAATAAATAATACTACCATCCATTTTATTCTGAACAATGATGGGAGTTGCAAATTTAAGCTTAACACATGATGATGTAGACCAAATCTGAGAGAAGACACATTTGGACACCCAATCCATAACATTATTTCCTATGCACAGAAATTTCCTAAAATATGAGGGTAATTTTTTATATTTCATCGTTCATTCACTGAACATTCTATTAATCCTGCAATAAAATGGTATACTGTCATGTTAAATATATAAATTCTAATTCTGTAAACCGCCCAGCCACTCAGATGAAGTAAAAGACAAAAAGACACTGATTTTAAAAAAAAACCAGATTGCCAGATTACTAACCACCTGACCATACTATGTTTAAGAAGTGTCACTGCATTATGCAAGTAACAACCAGGTGGCAAAATACGGATCTTGGGAGATAAAGGACGCTACCCCAGCAGTACACTGTTCCAGGGGAAGGGCTATATCCAGCTTAGTGGCAATCTCCCTTTCAAGGAAATTGAACTATAGAGAGAAGCTAGAAATCCTGATGGCATCAGTATATCAGTACAATATTTCTCCCTGGGCTTCTGCACCTAATTGATGAACCTAGTGGTAGAGACACCAACCCCCACATTTCAATGAAAGTCACCCAGATTCCCCAATAGGATCCAGAAGGATGATTGGGGCATCATCTTGGGATTCTTTTTGATCTGGGGTCTGCAATGAAGGGGATAGGTTGCTCTTTACATTGTTACCCCAGGCTAGACTGGTGATGGTGTTGAAGTCCTGTTCCAGCCTAGAAGCTACAAATGTCTGGATGTGAGATAACAGATTTAAAGTGAATTCCTAGCAAGTCAGTTTGTCCATCAAGATTCTCTCTCTGTTTCAGTGGTGTTTCTTGAAGGACACTACCTACAAAACAGATTTGTGATTTTCCTGGACGTATACTTTTGAGGGGTCCCTGGTATTCTGTGCTTGGTTGTTTTCTTGCAGACGTTTCATTACCCAAACTAGGTAACATCATCAGTGCTAGTATAGTACTCATGATGTTACCTATTGTATTTCTTGGAGTATAAGACACACCTTTCCCCCCAAAAAACGAGGGTGAAAATCTAGGTCTTATACATGGAATACAGCATTTTTGGCCTAGCGAAACCTCGCCCACTTTACAAAAATGGACGTGCAAAGGGTTTGGAAAATGCTCCTGGGAGCGGAGGAGGGCAAAAATGGGCGTTTTTTGCTCATTTATTTCTCCCCCAGCCCCCAGGAGCACTCTACAGGCCTCCCAAAGCTCTGCATGCTTTTTTCTTTTTTGCAAAAAATGAGGCGTGCAGAGGGTTTGAGAGGCATGCAGAGTACAAAAACTTTTTAAAAAATTACCTCTTCAAAATAATGGTGCATCTTATACTCTGGTGCATCTTATAGTCTGAAAAATATGGTAATTCATGTAATGAAACATCTGCAAGAAAACCACCAAACTCCAGAGAGCATTAACTCTGAGCTATAAATATTCAACTCTGAGCTACAAATATTCTCTTTTATTGTTACTTATATGCTTCATGGCCAGGAAGGCTTTGGCTGATGTCCTGCCTATGATGCTACCCAGAGTGGGAGGATTTTGCTACAGTGAATCACACAGCATCACCACTTCTCTACTTGATTACTGAAATGTACTGTATGTGAGGCAGTCTTGCAGAAGCTTGACTACTGGCACAATACTATAAGCACTATGAAATAAATAACTTTCAGCACTTCAAGGAATACACAAAAACCCTAAAATTAGCAGAGAATAGTAGGAGAGTATTTGAAGTAATGCTTTGGATATGTGTTTGAACATATGGGGCAGAATGTTCTAAAACCAGTAGCTGGTCTTAATTTCAGAGGTCCTGGCACACAGGAGAACTGCCAGAAAACTGGAAAAGAGCTGATGTGGTTCTAATCTTCAAAAGATTTTTAAAAAGTGGATCCAGAAAACTAGACCAACCAGCTTGACATTCGTTTGTGGGAAATTTTTTGAAAAAGATAGTCAAACAGTGGATTTGTGAGCATCTAGAAACAAATAAGGTGATTATTGGAAGCCAGCACGGGTTTGTTAAAATAAACGTAATTGCCTTATTTGATAAAATAACTAAATTATTGGATCAGGGAAATGCTGTGGATAGAGTATACTTGGACTTCAGTAAGACATTTGACAAAGTAGACCACAGCCTACTTCTTGATAAGATAGAACAATGTGGAATAGAGTGTCTCACCACCAGATGGATTCACAGTTGACTGTCCAACCGTGTTCAGCGGATCCTCAATGGAGCTACATCTACATGGAGAGAAGCATTCAATGGGCTACCTAAAGGTTTGGTCTTGGGCCCAGTATTCTTCAACATCAACATATTGATCTAGATGAGGGGACAGAAGGGAAACTAGCAAATCTGCAAATGACACCAAGATGGGGGAAATCAAGAACACTTTGAAAGATAGACTCAAGATTCAGAAGGACCTTGACAGACTTTAGTATAAGCCCTATTCAACAAGATGGAGTTCAGTAGTGAGAAAAGTAAATCCTGCACTTAGACAGGAAAAACAGTTATAGAATAGGAGGCACCTGGCTCAACAGCTGTTAACTATGAGAAGGATCTAGGAGTGCTAGTGGACCACCACTTAAGTATGAGCCAGCAATGTGTTGCAGCTGCCAAAATGGTTGGCTACGGAAGGGGTGTCAAACTCGCAATCCATGAGCCAGATGTGTCATGCACTGGCCACACCCACCTCCATTTTAGCAAAGAAGGGGAAAGTTGCAATATGTCACTTGACGATGTGTCATCACGAGTTTGATACCCCTGGGATAAGGGAATAGCCATGTTTAGCCTAATAAAGAGAGGAAACAACATAGCAGTCTTCCAATATTTGAAAGGCTGTCATAGGGAAGAAGCTGTCGATTTATTCTCTGTAGCATCTGAGTGCAGGACAAGAAGCGATAGAAGCTCATCAAGAGGAAGATTCAATCTGGAAATAAGGAGGAATTTCCTGACAATAAGAACGATTAAGCAATGGAGCAGCTTAACTCCTGTGCAGGGGTATTCCATCGCTGGAAGTTTTCAAGAAAACATTGGACCATTTGTCTGGGATGATATAAGGTTTCCTGCCATGGGCAAGGAGTTGGACTAGAAGACCTCCAAGGTCCATTCCAGTCCTATGATTCATATTAGCAACGCACAGATATAATTAATACTGTAAACAAATTTAATTAATAAATATTGGGCATAAATGGTTAGTATCGTCAACAAGATAGCCCTAAAATAAGAGTCAAAGTAATTCTGTTAAAGAAGGGTCAAATACTTTCAAGCCAATGTATGGGGGAAATGTTAAACTCATTGTCAGTTAAATTCACTGCTGCTAAAAGGTTACTAAATCTAATATTTCATATACTTTTCCAACATTTATGTGTGAATGGAGCATGTTCAATAGAGGTAGTTCTTGACTTACAAAAGTTCATTTAGTAACTGTTCAAAGTTACAACAGTACTGAAAAAAGTAACTTATGACCATTTTTCACATTTATAATTGTTGCAGCGTCCCCATGGTCATGTGATCAAAATTCAGATGCTTAGCAACTGACTCATATTTATGATGGTTGCAATATCCCAGAGTCATGTAATCACTTTCTTAAACCTTCTGACAAGCCAATGAGGAAAGCAAATTCACTTACACCTCTCTATCCCTCTACCTACCTACCTTTTAAAAAAATTGCCTCTTCAAAACCTGGATGTGTCTTATACTCCGAAAAATACGGTACTATGTCACTAACTTAACAATTACAACAATTCACTTAACTGTAGCAAGAAAGGTTATAAAATGAGGCAGAATTCACTTAACTGTCTCGCTTTTGGGCTCAATTGTGGTTGTAAGTCAAAGACTAACTGTAAAACAGGGCTGTCAAACGCATGGCCCACGGGCCGGATGTGTCACACACTGGCCATGCCCATGCCCAGTTTAGTGAAGGGGGAAGAGTCCTGATATGTCACATGATGCCACGAGTTTGACACCCCTGTCATAGAATACTGTTTTCTATGTTACTTGCTCCACCAGAACCTCTTTATCTGTTAATAAGACTTAAATTGAGTTCAGATGTCACTGTAATACTGGAAGCTTATAGAGTTAGAAGATTCACAAACTTTCTCTGACCACTTTAAGACCTCAACCAGTAACAGCCATGGCATGTGGAAGATTGTGGTTTGAGTAGGAGTAAATGAATTACCAAATAATGTAAAAGATAGATGCACTGTGTATTTATGAAACTAAGAGAATGGGAAAGTATATAAGGTAGTCTGCTTTTCTGGAGCAGGGTTTATAAATATATTCAGAGAAGTGAAGGTATGTTAATTATGAATTATGAAAGGCCTTAAACCAGAAAATATGAATTTCTATTCAGATTCTCCTCTTCAGGCTCAGATACACACTCCTATCTTTATGATCCCCAACATATACAACATATTTTCCACTTCCTTCTTTCCCATGCAACAAAGCACCCACAGCGCATTCCTATTATTTATAATTCTTCTGTCTGGCTCCTTCCTTTGTGAGCCTTCTTCATACAGATATGTTCAAGAATGTACGTTTTACCATAAAGCTAGTTTTTTTTCTTTTTAAAGGAACCTATGTCAATATTTGCATTACTACCATCAAGAGTGTTATCATTTCACAAAAAGAATCTTAAAACCCTGGCAACTGTAAGTCACAGAATATTAAAACCAAAATTAACAATTGCCTAACTACATAAATTGAACTTAGTTGCTTTCATGTTGGTAAAGATTTCAGTTCAGTATTCAGCTTAATTGGCAGAAAGCATAAAGAACTAGAATTATTCAACATGCTTAGAAATAGCACGATGAAACAGATTCAGAAACATTTTTAAAAAGAGCAGCTTTAGTTGACACGAGGGAACATCTTCTAAAAACTCAAGGGAACACACAGAACATTCCTTTTGTTGATTTGGACTCTGGACATCTAGCTTGGTCTATGTTAACTAGCAGCTGCTTTCCAGGGCTTTAAGAAAAGAATTTTTCCAACTCTATCTGGAGCTATTAAGGATTCAAATTGAGATATTTTGTAAAACATATCAGGACATTGAAAAAGATGCTACTAATCCTTAGTCCTGTTCTGCAGTCAAAACCCCAAGATACTGATGTTTTAGAAGATCTAAAGGGCTTCATATAAATATTGATAAATGGCATTCAGAACACTGAAATTTCACGTAAAATATTCCAAATCTACTTTCAAACTGAACAGATGAACAAAAACACTAATGAAGTTGCTGTCCATGAGGGAAAAATTCTATATACTGTAAGCCTAACAGCATAACAGAGCTGGAGGGGACCTTGGAGGTTTTCTAGGCCAACCATACTGCTCAAGCAGAAGGCCCAGCCTGACCTACCAATAATTTTTAATTATCTTCATCATGAACAACACCCAATATATATAATATCACACTTACAATTATGTTGGTATGCTACAAATGACAACACAAAAAATAACCGAAAGATTATGAATCTCAGGCAATCTTCCTATGAGATGACTTGAGTTACCTGCTTTTGATAAGTACATTCTTATCAATGCCAAATCATACCTAACAAAGAAAGGGATTGGGTTAAAATTACAATAGGAATATCAATTACACAGTGTTGATGTAAAGATGCTGGATTAGGCATTTACAATAAAAACCACAAGGAAATGTAACATTGCAGCAAAAATTTTCACTCTAATTCTATCATACCTATATATGTCTACATTCCTAATGTCATGTATTCTAATATGGGGTATTAGTTAGAAGCTTAACATTGAAGCATACCACCAAATGAACTTCTGGAAACTCTGAAAATATCTCTCTGTGCAGAGTGTATTTCAGAAGTCTAACCCTATTGTAACTAAGGAATGTGCAACTGTTGCCAGAGATAGCGAAAGCTAAAACATTAAACAAAGTAGTAAAAATGCATTCCTACCCAATACCTAGAAATCTAGCAAAGTTGGTAATCGAAGTACATTCCCAGAGTATGAATCTATTTGCTCAGAGGAAGTGTGACACCATATAGAATAAGCCGAATCACAATTACTAATTACTGGTTTTCCAACAACCAACACAACTTACTTCTCTTGAGACCATATACACCAAAAACAAATTCCTTGTGTGTCCAATCACACTTGGCCAATAAATAATTCTATTCTATTCTAATTATAGCTTGTGTAGCCTCCTCCAGATCATTGCTGAATTTAGTGTACAATAAAGTCATTACAATTGGACAGGAAGAATTGTCATAATCATAATTAAGAGGCACCTCATCCCTAAGTTCCACACAATATGTCTCAAGAGTTTCATTAAGAAACAAGTTGGAATCTAACAGCAGAAGAGCTGTCCCTTCAGGATGACCTCGATTGGAAAACTAACAGGAAGAAACAAACCAATTCTATGGGCCCAATTAACTAGGCTACTCTAGAAAGCATTATAGTAACTGAAGGAATGCTCATTACTGACAATCAAGATGACAATCATATATCCTTCTATTGGAAGAATAGGATTTGTTACAAACCATGATACATGAGGCAAAAGATATTAAAACGAATGCTACAAATGCTTCCATCATATTTACAGATAAAACTGCAAGACTTATTACCAAAGAAATTATAGCGGAGCCCATATCTGAATCAGCGGCTTCCCAATTTTTTTTATTTGTATCCCGCATTTATTGATTTTACAAAAAAGTGGAGAACATATCCAACACACCTATTTTCCCCACAATAAAATGAGTTGGGCTGTGATTTGCCCCAAGTCACCCACTTGGCTTTCATGGCTAACCCAGGGTCTCTCTTGTTTTCTGTCTTATCAATTTCCATAAACTCTAGATTAAAAACTATTTTGTATGCTAGAATACTACAACAGAGATCTTGTTCAATCAAGAACATTATCAGCAGTTGCAGAGCCGAGACTGGAACCGGTTATTTTTAATCCTGCTATTTGTTTTACAATCTGGCAATTTCACGGGCACAAGGCCTTCAATCGCCACTTGCCGAAGTTCCTCGGCGTTCAATACTCTTCCCCCCCCCCCCGGAAGAGAGGCGCGCCTTGGGCACCCAGAATGGTAGGGAACGAGGAGCTCTGACTGACGCGGCCAAGGGCTGAACTTTTCGGAACACCTTCCTCCTGGAGTCCTGCAGGAACCGCCCGGGAGGAGGAATCCTGCCCCGCCGAAAAAGCGGCCCCGCCACCCGCGTCCGCCCAACCGCTCGAGGGACGCTCGGGTCTGAGGCGGCGGCGGTAGCCGAGAGCCCTGGACCGCCACGTGCCACCCGAGAGAAGAGCAGCGGCGTCCCCGGGAAGCGTCGCGGGGAACTGCGCTTAGCCCGCCGCTGCCACGGGAGACCACCGACCTCCCGGCAGCTGAAAGAAGGGCCGCGGCAGAGGCCTCCCCGCTCAGCTGCGAAGCCTCCGGGATGGCCGGCAGACCGCTCCCTTCCCCCGGCGCGTTGAAAATTCCGCCGCTTTCCAGCCTGAGGCGCAGACGCGGAGCTCACCTCGGGTGGCTCGGGGCGAGAGGTCTCGGGCCAAACCAGGCACCGGACTAGCCGCTCGCGTTCTCCTAGTCGGCTCTCGAGCTGGTCCCCAAACAAAATGGCGACCGGGGCCGCGCGCTCACGTCGCGGCCTTTCTCTTCCCGTCTTCCTCTGCGCAGGACGCAAAGCAAGGAGGCGGGACCTAGACCTAAAACTCAATCCGCCTGCGCGGAAACAACTTTGACCAATCAAAGACCTATCCCGACTGGTGCTCGAGTCCGCCTCCAGTTTTCTACCCAATCCCTAGGAGGACACCCCGATGTCGCCTTTGCACTCTCGTCGACGGAGGGACGCAAATATACCCTCATGGAGTTGACGGGGACGGAAAATGGGCGGGGACGATTAAACTCAGAAGACCTTGCGGAGTTGGGTTCCGACTGCGATTGGATAGTTTAAGTATCGAGCCTGGCAAGGCCAATCGCAGCGCGGCGCTGGGAAGCGATCGCATCAGTCGCGAGGGCAGACGCGCGTGCGCAACGGGCGGAGGCGGGGCGAAAGCCTGGGGTCTCCTTCAGAAAGGGCGCCTGGTTTCGGCGATGAGGGCGGGGCGAGCGGACTGACGGCACGAGAAAGCGAGGTCGGGCGTGGGGGGGGGGGGCGGGGGGGGGGGGGGGGGGCTTCTTCCGGCCAGCGGCTCAGGCATGGCTTGATGGCGCGAGGAAGTGGCGGGCCGGGCTTGTACTGCACCATGTGTCCGGCACCCTGCGGAGACGGAGGCAAGAAAGGCGAGCGATGAGGCAGAAGGAAAGGGGCCAGCTTGTATTTGCGACCAGGGGCGGGTGCCATGTGCAGAGTCAACGAGGAGGCCGCTCAGAAGGGCACGCCTCCCCGAGCTGCCCGCCCGTGCCGGGGCCGCCCTTCCCCGGGATCCCTCCCCTTCCCGCTGAAGAGCCCGTGTGCCTTGGGATTAGGAGAAGGGTCGGGACTGCTGGTGTTGCCCTCACTAAGCAGTACGGTCACCTGATACCACGCTTTACAATCACATGGATGGCAACCCGTCCCAGTTGTCATAAATCGAGGACTACCTCTATCCCATAGATATAGTCCTCGATTACGACCACAATGGAGCCCATAATTTGTTGCTCAGCAAAATATTGTGAATTTTGCCCCATTTTACAACAATTCTTGCCACAGTTGTTCAGCAGATCACTGCAGTTGTTATATTAGTAAGTCATAAAATAAATCGGCTTCCCCATTGACTTTACTTGTCTCACAAAGGTGATCATGTGACTCAGGATACTTCAACACTCATAAATATGAGTCAGTTGCTAAGCGGCCAAATTTTGATCATGTGACCATGGATGCAGCAACAGTCGTAAGTGTAAGACACACCGTCATAAGTGATCATAAGTCACTTTGTTCAGTACCATTGTAACTTTGAACATCACTAAATGAACTGTTGTAAGTTGGGGACTACCTATATTTTATTGTAACTGATTCCTGGAACAAAATACCATGTTAGTTTCACACATTCCACAAAGTTGGAACCAAATAAGTTGCATTAGAATGCAGCATTGCAGGCTAATTCTGCCTGCTGCTGGCAGTTCGAATCTCACTAGGCTCAAGATTGACTCCGCCTTCCATCCTTCCGTGGTCAGTAAAATGAGGATCTAGATTCTTGGAGGCAGTATGCTGACTAAAACGCTTAGAGAGGGCTGTAAAGTACTGAAGCAGCATATAAGTCTTAAGTGTTATTGCTATTATGGCTTAGTGTGATGTGAAAATTCAGCGTTTTGCTTTGTTTTTGGTGATCAGTGCTGGAGCTGTTTTCCACAAGTTCTTCCATAAAGCTAAGATGGGAGGTTTTTTGACAGCCGCAGCCATTATAACAAGTATTCAGTATAGTGGGAGAATCAAAACATCTCCACTTTGCCATAGAGGTTGTTTCCAAGGATTGAACACTACTTTTTTCAACTATACAAGTGCCATTGTGCCTTGAAAAACAACACTGATCCCTTAATAAAGTACCGTATTTTTTGCACTATAGGACACATTGGACCGTAAGATGCACATTAGCTTTAGAGAAGAGGGGGGGGGGGGAAATCTTGACACTTCTTCCTAGCATCCATCCAGTATTCATCTGGCTAGCGTCCTTGCAGCAGACAGCAAACAGCCTGGTCAGCTTCAGCATGTTATCGCAGCTCCAGCATGTGATTTGGCAGAGCTCCACTCCATTGCGCCCACCACCAGACAACTGAGCTGAGCTGCTGTTGCTGCTGCCAGGGAACACTGGAACCTTCACTGCCAATCAGCTGATTGGCAGTTGGATCAGCATTTCAGAATACTGCTGATCAGCTGTTCTAGGTGGTGGCATTGCCACCGATTTGCCACTGCCGAATGCAGTAATTGGCGGAGGCAGCGATCCCTGCCACCTAAAACAGCTGATTGGCAGTTGGATCAGCATTTCAGAATACTGCTGATCAGCTGTTCTAGGTGGTGGCATTGCCACCGATTTGCCACTGCCGAATGCAGTAATTGGCGGAGGCAGCGATCCCTGCCACCTAAAACAGCTGATTGGCAGTATTCTGGGAGCCCGATCCAACTGCCACTCGGTAGCAAAGGCTCTAGTGGCGGCGAATGATGGCAGTAAGGACGGGCGGCGATGACAGGCAGTGGTGAATGCCGCTGCCGCACCCCACCACCACCACAATATTTGCTCTAT